CAATCAGTGGTCATGTCAGGATTAGGCAAATCACTTGTCGATCACTAATTAAAATTTTGTGTAACATTAATAATCAGAAATGAATGGTCTAATGCAACGTGATATTGGATCAAATAACGAACCAAAGAACAATAAGAACTTTTCAATTTAGAGGTTTCTAGCTATCTATTCCAATGCCTTTTTTTATAGTATGACATTTGTACAAAAACTTTTATATATGACAACTTTTCCCTATTTTTTGACTTTAACCCCGAGATGCAAGTTTATATAAGTTCCAAAATCTGTTTTAAATGACTGAATACCCGTATTTTTTTAGGCGCAATCGAAGTGCTTAGACGGAAAAAGGTGGTTAGGATAGTGATTTTTAAGGCAAATAGCCAATTTTTATTTTATCGATTAGTTAGCCTGTAGGAATTTCATTTATGTCCTTTATATTGTTAACAAATTCAATAAAAAACAACATTAGCGGTTTTGCAAACGCAAACTATTTATTTATTACCACCTAATTTAACTAGTTCATGGACCCGCAACCCTACTATATTATTATTGAAAAGCAATATTTACAATTCTTCGCAATTCACTTGTTCTTATGATAATTCCACCACTCTCGCACCTTTTTTACAGTCCAAACTTCAGACAATTTCTCACGAACAGAAGCAATGGCATCATCTGGAAGGTAATCTTTGTATATTTTTAATGCACAAAGAATTTCTGTTTCATCTTCGGTAGTTCGATGTCTGGTACTTGTCATTTTTCTTCGTTTGGGTTGTGGTTCAATGACAGGTGGCGTTTCATTTAAATTTTCTACTACTGATTGTGCAGGTTCCGGATTCACCATTTTTCTCTTTTCGGCCTTTTTTTTACTATTATAATCTTTCACCTTAGTTCTAACAACTCCTATTGTCCTTCTACCTTGTGGATTTCTACATTCTGTCTTTAGAACTTCTTGCCGGTATACTGCTTTGATTCGTTCTAAACCATTTGGATAACAATTAACCAATCTACTAAGCCCTTCCTTATGCATTTCTGTAGGTGTATATTCTTGGAATAGTCGGTGTGATAAGGGGTCGGACATTCCAAAAACTGTTACAAGGTCATTCACGAGTTCCCATAAAGATTCCTTGCGTGAGTTTATAGCCCTTTCACTATGTGAAATCGCATAATCGTTGAGGTATTCGCTCATTAACAGGTCTATCCTTTCTCTTTCATCCTGGGAAGACTTTATCTGGTCTCTAAGGTTCTTCTCATCAATTATATTTCCACAAACATTTTGTTTGATGAACCTAACGCCAAACGTTTCCAGGGCTTCGTCAAATCCAAAACAAACATGCCGTGAATCTTCGTTAGTATCGCGGGGAATCTTAAAGGCGCCACAATAATTTAATCTTTCTTCTAATTTAGGGTGAGCCGCTATGATGCTAAGATAGTGGGCTATAGCTGTTGTATAGTTGGATTTCGCTGCACTTGCATAAAGTGGAGCCGCTGCAGATAAAGAATTTCGTTGCAGACCAAAGTTTCCTATACGCATTCCCATCCGATGCACCTTCCAAATGCCAGCCCATTTATAGTATAAATACCATATCTTATATAAATAAGTTGTATACAATTTTTTTAATAAAAAAAGAAATAAATAAATTAATAATAAAGTATAATACAAATAACAGATAAATGTTAATATATAAAATAAACGATTTCTTATACTTTGAGACAAACGTGAGTGTCACTTTCATCATCCATTATTTCTGAGGATGACATTCCAATTTTTTTTATGTAAATATTGATCGCTATCCCTATTGCCACCCATAAAAGATCCAATACACGTGCAGTTGACCGATAATCGACTGCTGCTTCAAATTTGTCCAAGAAACGGACGCCTAAACGTGATGCCAAACTTAGTAATCCGTAACTAGAGAATAAAACTATCAAAACTGAACAAAAGTCCTTTGACGTGTGCCATTGGCCCAAGTGAGGTCTTATATTTGGCCATTTCTCCCGGCATTTGATTAACCTACGAAAGATTGCTTCATCTGCTACGATGTCTAAAAAAGAATGATTACTCATTGAAAAGTCCTCCTTATACATTTCAGAAACGCGCAAAATTTCTTCATCTGAATTTGGATTAGCCCCTGGCTCCAAAATTACGACATTGGGAGAAGGACCAAGACATCCTCGGTTCAATTTAGTAATTATAACGCGTTTGATAGTTTCTGCATCAAAATTTGTCTCGTAAATTAATTCACCTTCAATTTCTTTAAAATCTAACAATTCATAAATAACCTGCTGAAACATATTTAATGTTACATTAGTACTCTGATTCATCCCGAATAATGAAGTATCAGCAGTTAGTTCGATGACTTGTTCAGGACCAGTTTCTATTTCGATTGGTAATTGGGCTTGAAAGGCCATCCTCAGAGTAGCATGTGTACTACCACGTGTAACATCATATATATTACCAAACTTAAAACTTTTCTCCTTAAAATCGATGTTATCGATTATTGCCAAATTCCACACATTACTAGCTTGAATTAAACGGTTTGATGGATTTGATTCTTCCATTCGAGTTTTTGCAAGTTTTCGTTCGTGTCTATCACTATGAGAACTTACATGACAAACTTTTAATAACTGTCGAAAAGAACCCAGTAATCTTGGCATACGACCAAGGCTGGCCAAAACTCGAGGTAACCAAATTTTCAAATGTGGAAAAGCTAATCCCAGTAACATTGATGTAATAAATGTTACAGTTTTTGTTATCGGTTCAGGAATTACAGATTTCAGTAACTTGTGACGTGTTTTTCGTTGCCAGTTGCATACTATTGTCTTTTTTTGATGTAATTCATCAATTACACCAAAGAAGAAATCATTTAAAAATTCAGGAAAACTATCGTAATATTCTTGAATAGTTTTTGGAGATTCCAAGGCAGATGCTCTTGAGTTGACGTACGATCGCGAATTCCATAATTTTCGTCCAAATACATGACCAAACTCCTGTATTAATCAAAATTATTCATTCACATTTTTGACTTAAAAACAATCATACAAGGAAACGAATTTTATTTTTTGATATACCACATAATTACCCACCAATGGAACCATGATGTACAACATAACTAACTACTAGTAATCACCGTGAGATTTTCATGAAGAAAAAAAAGTATACTTGCCACGAAATCATCTGTTTCTAATTTTTTTTCGTTTTCCTTTTTTTCAATTTCTTTTTTTTCAATTTCTCTTTGTTTAATTTCTAATTTTTTATCAATTTCTTGTTTTTTAGAAAATTCAATAAAAAGAGTCTTTATCATAAACAAACTGGGAGGTTCATTTAGGGTAGTTGAAATGATTGTAGAATTGGGCTTGGGTATTAGATCAGCAAAAGGAACAAGAGCTTCGAAGGTTTTTGTCAATATATTTTTGTTGTTATTATTTCCTGTTTTTGCGATATTAATTAACCAGTTACCCAAATATTCTAACCCTTTTTTCGTATCATCAGCATGTAATATAGCACATGTTGTCCCACTTTTTCCTCTCCCAGGACGATGATGAATATGACCACCCAAATTTTCGTAACAACAACAACAAAGACTTTTTTGTTGTGAATTAATGTCATCAAAAGCCCGTTTACATACTGGTGGATAATCTCGTAACGCCTCACATGTATATTGTCCAATACATGGAACTTGAATATTTTGTTTATTCAAATGCCAAGAATGTAATGTGCATCCTGTACCCCGAGAAAAAAAAACAATATATTTATTACAATAAATGCATCGTCGCCATTGAATAATTCCTTGACTAAAATCTTTTAATTGTTTATTTCGTGATTTATGTAGATATTTATTATCAAATTGAAAATGAGTATCACATACTCCTAATCTTGATAAGACACCATTAACTTCTTTGATTGCATCCCTGTCAACTTGCCATGTGCCAAACAAATTTCGTAATTGTCTTAGTTTCATTTTTTTTCCACATCGTTGAATTTTACCCTCAATAAAATCGATAACTACACATGGTGTATATTCAGTGTGTTCCAAATTATCTATAACTTTATCTTGTTCAAGTGTTTCACAACCATTTTCCTTGTTTTCTTCAAAGTCTTTAAA